GTGTGTTTGTGTGTGTAACCCCCCTTTGGTGCCTCTCGTACCAGGCTCAGCCATGCCTCAGGCCACCTGGAATTTAGGCCCTGTGATATGTGCATGTGTGATCCTACAATATATAAAATGTTTCCTATTACCAAAGCTAAATTTTGTGGGTTTATCATAGATGACAAATCACTTTGTGATAATTTTGCGTTGATGACTGAGTGCGAGACAGAAGATGAAGTTGAAAGTCGGAGAGTCCGGAAGAGAAAAAATTATGAAGATTTTGAACTTGGTGAGAAAATGGAAAAATTGTTTATAATGAACAACCATTACTAAAGTGTTTTAGTCCATTAACATGATTTTAGCCATAAGTCAACTTGTGAAATAGTGTTTTAACTTTTCCCCCAGATTTATTTGATTCTGAAGAAGACTCAGATATCACACAAGGTAACCATTTACAAACATTTATCCTAACACTTAAATGATTCATAAATATGGGACAAATAAATGTTATTAAACTTCATATTCTGGGTTTTTGGAACCGATGCAGTGAAAGACTATCCGATGCCGCCTGCAAAGTTCAAAGCTGCTAAGAAAAAAAATATGACTGAAGGTTTGTATTACAGCTGAACATTCAGAGTATAATTGAAAGAAAGGGAATAAATAAAATGCCATCAACCAGTTAGCCTAAATAGCTTTGACTAAAAATATTGATTATTTGTTACATTTAGCAGAAGTGGATTCTTTAATCTATTCAACTCAAAGATCAAGCACACCTCAAGCAAAGCAAGGGAACGGTGAGCTAACGTATATAAATATTTGGCGGCTTGTAGTTGATTGCATCCAGTGATGTAATATTTTATGCATTGTATTTTACAACTGTTTGTAGGAGATGATCCTTCACCTGATTCCTGTCCAGGGAGGAATTACAAATCAGGGAACATTTCAGGTGTTTAGGCAATCATGTTGAAAGAGTTTTTGTTTTTTAATCTATTTTTTACTGCTATGTATTTACAGTGTGTTTGACAGTATTGTAGAATATATACTGTCATTTTTGCATTTAAATTGTGATTTTATAATTGTTGATTGAAAAATTTAATTTGTCAATCTGAAAAGAAAAATGTTGCCATTTGCAAGTGAGGTGCATACACTTTCCAGCCCCAGGAACCCTTCTGAATCAGTCAACCAGTCAGGAGCTGAGTCTTTTAGTGGTTTTCCAATGACATCAGCCAGTAAGTTGTAAAAGCATTAAGCTGTTTGTTCTGAAAAAAAAATCAGTTAGGGACTGATATTAGTTGAAATACAGTATGTGTTTTTTATTTACAGAATGGTGAAGTGACTTTTAATTTTAAAATGAGTATTTGCAAGTGTTTCCATCAATCAAGATTAGAGTGCCACAACTAGGGCTGGGCGATATGGCCTAAAAATATGGCAATATTTAGCTTCCGCTGCAAAACACTCGTGCTAGGAGGGTGTTCTGGATGGGCCGTGTGCACAGTAGGGGCGGGTCGAAGATGTGTGTGTGAGTGAGAGGGGCAGAGAGACTCTACTCCTTGAGATCTAAACACAAGTGCAGTTTAAATGGCATTACAAAATCCTATGATGTGTGTAAAAATATCAGTATAAGTAAATACCTCCAAATAAGAGAGATTGTTTTTGTATTTAACAACCAGTTCTTCGAGAACTTCCCTTATGACTTTTTTTTGCCCCTGCCTGCAGGACTTACAAGGGAAGCAGTGGGTGTTCACAGCAGAAAGAGAGGTGGCACAGGGTGACGTTGTATGTGGGGTGGAGGTTGGGGTTAGTTGTCTTTACAGCGGGAGAGAGGTGGGGCAGGGGGATGTTGT